GAGCTGACACGCCTGGTTGGTTGTTATACCTCGTTGATATACTGACCTTTGATAGATGGGTTACACACCTAACGCTTGGTAATTGATGTTCGTGTGGGTGTTACATTGTTAATGCTACAGCTGACAATAAGTAGGTGTTTGTGCAGTTCCCTGTTAGTCTTGTTTAGTTTAAATATGTTGACTTAGGTTATACATGGTAGATTCAATTCCCCTCGCTTTTGTGTTTTATTAGATATAAGCAATTCAATAAAAAATTTCTTGCAAAGAAATTTGACTTTCTGAAAAAGCCAGTATAGATCACGTAAATGTGAATTACACTGTATTTATAAATTTTCCAGGTATTAATGTTAAGTTTTTCAGTAATATACGATTTTATATCGAGAAAGAAAATGTTGTATAATTGTATTTATTTTTATTGTAAACAAAAATAAAGAAGAGCTTGTAACGTAGCCTTACTTCTGCCAATATTTAAATACCGAATGTCTTGGATGACTGATTCTGTTGTTCTGCAACTCAGAAAATCTCAGTGTAACATTATTTCTATGATTGTAATAAAGTCGTGAATGAATCTAAAGACAACATCAGCACACGCTGTACCGTAACACAGCCACCCATGTTTTTGTGGCTGGAGAGAAAAAGAGATCACTCGAGTAACATGATAATCCTGAAGTTTGTTGTTATTCCCCACTAACATAAACAACATTTACATCTGTGAAATGAAACTTTTGAATTTCTTTCAAGTATTCGTTTATATTGTTGAGGATTATCTCCTCATTAATGATTGTTGCCTCTTTGTAAAGTGTTCATGTAATACCCAGTCGTAGTGAACACCCATTAAGGATTTGTTCTGATTATTTCTTTTACTGCGAAAATTATCCCGATTTTTGGTTTTATGTCTTACGTGTCCTGGGTTTCAAGAAAGATTATTTTACCTTTCCCTTAACGTTTAACAGCTTATCCTATTAAAAATAAATATACAAAGTATTATTAAAAAAAATTGAATGATAGTTTATTGTTAGACGGGCGTTTGAACACTCCATCTTTTTCAATTCAGTTTCATTGTAGACTGAAGTAATACCAATCTCACGGCCAGCTTTTACGTAGAAAATAACATCGTCATATTGTTTCCAGGTGCTACTGAATCTGCTCGTAATTGATTACAGATAATTTACTTTTGCATAGACACCATAAAGCTTGGCTTTAGTTAAATTAAAAAATACTTAAATGAAGCCCATTTCAATTCCCCCCCAACGCTTCCCTACCTGGGAAGGTGAAATAATATCTTAATTTTTCGCATGGAAACTCTTAGCTTTAAAGGTACACAATCTGACATAGTGATTCATTATCTGCATTTGTTGGGAATATCAGTCTTGGGAGTGTGTAAACTAACTAAAGTAACACATAACCAAACGGACGAATGAAAGTTATACGTCTCTGAATGTCGACAAAGCTTACCATAATCAAGGTAGCTGAGGTGGAAGAGGGAACGAGCAAAGGAGAAAATAGGAGTATGTTTTCACTGATGATGTGTATTAAAAACCCTTGACAGAAAAACATCGGCGTTATAATGGTTAAGTACTGAGGAAGGAGTCATTTTTGCAGTTGTAAACGAGAAAAATATGTGCTTTATGTAAAATAATGTGAAAAGCTGCCTCGCATTGTAATTACTAGAAATGAGTCTACTTGGTGAGAGTGATTAATGAACATGAGAAAGAGCAGCAAAATATTAATACACGCATTCTATTTGTAATGTTCTTCCCGGCAAAACAAAAGATGAAGTTTGTGTTACTAGGGAAAATGGGCGCAGGTCTGACCGGCCACAAAACACACTAAAATCCAGACTTAAGTCGTTTATCTGTACACAAGAAAGCAGTGTGATTAGCGTTGCTATCGACTACTTTCACTTCCCCCCCAACAAATAAATTTTTATTACTTATGCAGCTATAAGTTAGCATCTTCCGCTCTATGAATATCTCAAGGAAGATTTTATCATTAATGGGTTCTGGAGAATTACCAAGGAACCATTAATCTAATTGAGACATTCTTTTTACTAAAATTATAAAAACCAGTCAAGTATCAACAAAAAAATGATGATGATTCGCCCTCCTCTTCATCCTCTGTAAACTGCTCATTTATGTACACTTCGTGGGGTGAAATATCCTCCTCAGTTATCAAAATATGGAAAGACTACGAGTCGTAGAGCATATGCTCACTGCTTATCATAAATTAATTACGTGTAGTATATTAATTTCTCTTATTCAGGGTGTATAACGTAAACCGTGTTTGAATATAGGTCCCATTACCAGGAGAACACAGAGTATCAACACCTCACGTATTCCATCAAAATGTAAAAGCAATTAAATTAAAGGTATTGCTGAATGTAGTTAGTACTTTTAGGGTAATCCCTCTGTCACACACACACACACACACACACACACACACACACACACACACACACACACACACACACACCGTCACCCCTAAATTCATCTTGTTAATCAACCATGACCACTGGGGAGGACAGGACGTGTATTGCCTCAACAAAGTCTCCAGAGTCTCCTCCCGAGTCAGTAAGTGGGAGGGTAAATACGTTTCATCGTCTCACACATCTGAATATTCTTGTATCTTAATATTTACTTTATATGTAAACAGTATACTATAGTGTGACTGATGTCTTGCGAGTAACTGGTGATATATACGAGCAGAATTATCATATAAGTACTTATTGTACTTAGTAAAAAGAATTATACCAGGTAATAATTTGCAATATATAACATATAGACTGATCTTGATCAAGATACACAGTTTATTTATTAAACATTGGATACAACCACTAACACTATGCCACAGTCAACCCAACCAACTGGACATTATTTAGTTCAGAGATTCAACTGCCAAATGATTTAAACCCTCTCTATAATAATTTTAACACATATGTTGCTCTAACGTCGACGTATATTTTGTGTTATGTTACCTGTAAGAGTAAGCTGGTATTTTATGTCCTCGTCCAAGATGGTTTAGACTTTTTCTCGTTAGTTTTACGTTATTTTTAAGTGGAGGAGTTGTATATTCCCTCCCGTAATGTGTTGTTCTTGTTGGTATTTTATTCGCCTGGCAGGTGAAAATTTCCTGGATCGATATCTGAAGGAATCAAGTGCGAGGGTTTTGTAGGAGTGGAACTCTGGCAAGCTTCTTTGGTCAGTTATCAGGTACCCGACGGGAAATAGATGACAATCACCTCTGTGGTTGGTGATCTGTCAGGTTCTTCATATGATATGTCTCGACAGTTCGAAAACAATGAGTGAAGTTGTTAGCATCATCTTCACTTTATGCACATTCCTTCCCTACTTAACACCTTAATTATTCTCATTCACGAAAGTCAAATATTAACTATTATATATAAAAGTTTTATTCTATATGGTATTTATTTATATTAGGAGTGTTCTTTGACCAGATATACTATATTACGGTCGAGGAAATGGAAATTACTCAGTGGGGGGCTGTTAATCGTGTCGGAAAAAGAGTTTAAAATGGCAGTTACTGTAGTAAACATGAGAAAAAATTAGTCGTCAAAGACTTATTTATATGTAAAAGAATAAATCCTCTGTAATTTAACAAGGTTTTCCAAAGAGCAACAAAGAAGTCCACAGTATTTTCAGGGGAAGTCTTATTATGCTCTTTCAAATTTACTATTGCTTTTCCTGAGCCCTACACATCACCGTGGAATTTTTTTTTGTGCATTTCCCTCTGAATGAAGCTCTTAAAGTTATCACTGATCATAAGTTAGATGAGGCCTGGGGAAGGAAAGTGGTGGGGAGTGATGGGGCCCAATGGAGGACTGTGAAAAGGAGTAGATGGAGCCTGGAAGAGGACGGCAAGGGCTTCCTATGTCTCACATTGCCACCTACTCAAGTCTCTTAGAATACCAGGATCCTCTTTTTGTCATTATTTTACGTGTTGAGTTGCTACCGGTGGCTACAACTGTAAATCTTACTTTTGTCGGTGTGAGTAAAATGAAAAAGAAGATGGTGTCTGGATAAAGAAAACAGCAATGATTGGTGGTGTAGCAGTAAAGAGGGATAATGATGGAAGAGGATAACACACAGGTAAAGGATGGTGATAAGCATAGCCTGGAGAATAGTGCTAATGAGGCGAAGAATCTTACACAGCTATTGGGTAATGTGGTGACGAAAGGAATATTAATGGTAATAGCAAAGGGAACCACTTTGTGGTATTTTTGAGGAGCGATCTGTTCATACTGAGTGATCAAGATATATGTCGTCGTCAATGAGGATGCCAGTATGTTGGGTCACACAACTAAATGAGTAACACATGGTGATGAATTGATGCCATAGTTTGACAGTTCAGTTCCTTAGACGAAGGGACAGGGGCGCCTGAAGAGACAAACTGGCGTGGATTAATGTTCCGAGCCTGTCACCCAAGCAGAAACATCTAACGATCGTAACTGATAGCTGAAAGGCATATTGGATATGGTTACCTCCCCGCCAACGTCGATTACTGTTGGAACATCCGATTGGAACCCGACAGGTTCCACCTGATTGACTCAGCACCCCTACCCGAAGGTGACGAGATGGACAAGCAGAACTCTGAAGGAGCAGCTGAGACATGGATGGCGGGAGAGAGAAGACAGGAGGGCAGAGGAATGTGAGGAGATAGGCGGAGATGGTGATTGATATACATTTGTGAATCTGAGAGACATGTTGTGGGTTTTCTTTTTAATTAAATAATTTGCCTTTTCTCATAGGTAGTAGTATGTGTTATGTGTGTAATGTGTATAGCCAAGAGTATATCACTTATTAATTGTAATATGACAATTTCCTATAAGCTCCCTTTATCATCGTAACGCCTGTCGCAAATAAATCAAAGAGATAAATTGCAGTCAAATGGGTTAAGAGTTACCAAGGGGTGTTACTGATGGGTTAAGAAGCCGCGGAGTACCCGTGAAGTTTAGGGTGGTTAGAGGGAAACTTAACACTCACCACACTGAGAAACGGCTTCGTCCGATTCGTCTAGACATTCCGTTACTCCTGAACAAGTAGCGTTGTGTGGTATGCACTGAGTACCATCCCAGCATCTCCACATCCCTGGTTGGCACGAGACGCCTTCCACTGACGCTTGCTGATATGGCGCCGCTGTGCACTCCATTTCAGTATCCTCCTCCTCTTCCATTATCGATTCACTTCTCTGCAGGTCGCTGATGCTCTGCTCTGTGACACCTTGAGGTAAAGGATTGCCCGGCGAGTTTGATAAGATGCTGATCCCTGCAAAGAGAAAAAAATCCACTGAATACAAGGGAAATGTTCTAGTACAATGTGAAGCGAATAAAAGAATTTTGCAAGAAAAAAGGAAACTTCATGCACGAGGAAAACGATTACTCGGTAGGGAGGCAGATTCCTGCAAGATATCGATAGAAACATTCTGAACAAACGAGGAAGTTTCTTGTAAGAACGTAAGATGAATTTACCATAGAGTTAGTAAGAACAATAACGATCAGTCTTGGAAGAGTCACCAGAAGATACTTCCAGTTCATGATCAGTATGTGGATATCAGTAGTGGCTCTAATTACGACTCTGCAATATGATAGTCAGAACTGACAAGAACAATTATTTACCGATGAAATTTATATATGCATGACCATATTCTCATATTTTCTATCCGCGATGTAATAAGCAATTCATATAGCGACTAAGGAAACTAGCCTAACTTAGATATGTCTCACTCACACACATTACTTCCTCTGGTGAGGCGACCCAAGACTGTGGAATTGCCAATCGAGTGTTTACATGAGTGTGAACGTTATATTATACGCCTACCTGGTGCTTGTTCGTTACCAATATAGTCACATATACAGGCAAGGACCAAAACACTCGCCCTTGCTCCTGTTTGACATTGTAGACCACACTCCCGTAAACTAATAGAGCCGCCTACCCACGTATCTGGAAGCTAAAATCACCCAGGCAACCAAAACCACGACACACACAACCAGGAACTAACATCACCACCTACACAACCAGGAACTAACATCCCCAGCCACACACCCAGGAACTAACATCACCACCTACACACCCAGGAACTAACATCCCCAGCCACACAACCAGGAACTAACATCACCACCTACACACCCAGGAACTAACATCCCCAGCCACACAACCAGGAACTAACATCACCACCTACACACCCAGGAACTAACATCACCAGCCACACAACCAGGAACTAACACTACCCACACACCCATAAACTAACATCACCACCTACACGCCCAGGAACTAACATCACCACCCACACAACCAGGAACTAACACTACCCACACACCCATAAACTAACATCACCACCCACACAACCATGAACTAACATCACCATTCACACAACCAGGAACTAACATATCCACTTACGCAGCCTGTAACTAACTCCCCCCTCGTGCATTTACAATATATACTGTATATGAGTCAACTTGGCTTCCCGTGTAAATATTTTTGTAAACAAATGTATTCCTTGTAAACTTTGATAATTACCCCGGAGGTACAAACCCTCCATTAGTCAAGTAATAACTGATAATTATTCTTCAGTAACCGCTGGCGTTGAACATGTATCGTAATTCTCAGGATATTTATTGCAAGTTGTATTGATTTTCGATAAACTCGAGTATTTTCTGTTTGCAGTTTTAAAACAATAAGTCAAATCTAAGATATCTTACGTGGCTTGTGTGATCAATAACCATTAATCCTTAGAAGATCTTATCCATGTCATACTATTGTTTGCTATCCTCGAGTGTCAATAACCATTAATCCTTAGAAGATCTTATCCATGTCATACTATTGTTTGCTATCCTCGAGTGTCAATAACCATTAATCCTTAGAAGATCTTATCCATGCCATACTATTGTTTGCTATCCTCGAGTGTCAATAACCATTAATCCTTAGAAGATCTTATCCATGTCATACTATTGATTGCTATCCTCGAGTGTCAATAACCATTAATCCTTAGAAGATCTTATCCATGTCATACTATTGTTTGCTATCCTCGAGTGTCAATAACCATTAATCCTTAGAAGATCTTATCCATGTCATACTATTGATTGCTATCCTCGAGTGTCAATAACCATTAATCCTTAGAAGATCTTATCCATGTCATACTATTGTTTGCTATCCTCGAGTGTACGTGATTTTTATTTTTCATGATGTAGTGTGGATTGAGAGCGCAGGTTTCTGGGCTTCACTTGCTGAGGACAAACTTAATACAGAGGGAGTATGCACCTAATAGTAAGTTCTTTATTTGATGATATCATGATTTTAGAAGAAATAAACCGCCGAAGGAAAGGAGTGGTGATGTTTGCTGCTGGATTTGTGGATAGTGGTGATGTTAGCTCCTGGATGTGTGGATGATGGAGATGTTAGCTCCTGGATGTGTGGATGATGGAGATGTTAGCTCCTGGATGTGTGGATGATTGTGATGTTAGCTCCTGGATGTGATGTGATGTTAGCTCCTGATGTGTGGATGTTAGCTCCTGGCTCCTGTGGATGGTGGTGATGTTAGCTCCTGGATGTGTGGATGATGGTGATGTTAGCTCCTGGATGTGTGGATGATGGTGATGTTAGATGTGTGGATGGTTGTTAGTCCTGTGATGTGGATGGATGGTGGTGATGTTAGCTCCTGGATGTGTGGATGGTGGTGATGTTAGCTCTGGATGTGGATGGATGTTAGTATGGATGATGGTGATGTTATTCCTGGTGATGTTGCTCCTGATGGATGATGGTGATGTTAGCTCCTGGATGTGGATGATGGTGATGTTAGCTCCTGGATGTGTGGATGATGGTGATGTTAGCTCCTGATTCTGATATGATGTGTGATGGTGATGTTAGCTCCTAGGATAATTGGTGATGTTAGCTCCTGGATGGTGGATGGTGATGTTAGCTCCTGGATGTGTGGATGGTGGTGATGTTAGCCTGGTGTGGATGATGGTGATGTTAGCCCGGATGTGTGGATGATGGTGATGTTGGCCCTGATGTATGGATGATGGTGATGTTAGCTCCTGGATGTGTGGATGGTGGTGATGTTAGCTCCTGGATGTGTGGATGGTGGTGATGTTAGCCCTGGATGTGTGGATGGTGGTGATGCTAGCCCTGGATTTGTGGATAGTGGTGATGTTAGCTCCTGGATGTGTGGATGATGGAGATGTTAGCTCCTGGATGTGTGGATGATGGAGATGTTAGCTCCTGGATGTGTGGATGATTGTGATGTTAGCTCCTGGATGTGTGGATGGTGGTGATGTTAGCTCCTGGATGTATGGATGATGGTGATGTTAGCTCCTGGATGTGTGGATGATGGTGATGTTAGCTCCTGGATGTATGGATGATGGTGATGTTAGCTCCTGGATGTGTGGATGATGGTGATGTTAGCTCTTGGTTGTATGGAAAGTGGTGGTAGTTCATGGATATTAGGGCGGCCACACAGGTTTACGAGTGTGCGGGCGGCCATTTTGGTTCACGCAAGATATGCGGCTATTTAGTTTACAAATATGCGGGCGTCCATGCTGGTTCATAAATGGCCCATTGATTATCATTCATTCTTCCTGTGTGTGTGTGTGTGTGTGTGTGTGTCATATCGGTGGCTAATAAGTACCCAACAGAACTGTGATACTATTGTTATGGTCACATGTGCACTCGACTGGCAATTCTGCAGGCCCATGGTCCACATATTGGAGAGGATAGTGTGTGACAATTTGGTTCAACTAATTTCCTCATTAGCCAATTATCAAACCCCAACCCCTTCCCTCGTACACACGGTAATAAAAAAAAGTATCTTCCTGGATGGGCCGATGAATTTTGAAATGATCAAGACGATTCGTGTTGTCTCGGTGTTGTCATTATTGTTTAACACAAAAAGCGGAAGAAAATATATATATATATATATATATATATATATATATATATATATATATATATATATATATATATATATATATATATATATATATATATATATATATATATATATAATTTTTTTTTTTTGCAGTGTACATCTCCCTCCCCCCAAACCCTGACCTCCCTCCCTTCACACCCTCCCCTACTTCCCCTCACAGCCTTCTCTTCCCACTCACACCCTGACTCCCTCACTCATCACACCCTCCCCCCCTAACACCTCCTCTACTTCCCCTTACATCCTCCCCTCCCTCCCTTCACACTATCCCCTTCTACCCCCTCACATCCTCCCTTCCTTCCTTTTTAATCCTCCCATCTCTGCGGATGTAATATACGAAGAAAACAATTAGTTTAGAAAGACTTAAATAGCCAGAAATGTAAACGCGACAACAGAGAATCTTGGTTTCAGTTTGTTTGTGTTTGTTTGTTTACTTGACCCTCGGTGTTTTGGGTCGTGTAAACCTTGTGTGTTTGTTTACTGAAGTTTGACTCGGGCTAAGCAATCTGGGGCTTAAAGACAAAGTAGTTTAACGGTATAAAAGTCTTTCATTTTTCTGCTGACTCCGAGAACTGTTACATGGTGTGGCGAATGGGCTCATGAAATTGGCGGAAAAGTGTATTCAAGGTTAAAAAAATATATATATATGAACTTTGAGACCAAGAAGCATATTATGTATTGCCAGCCATATACTCCGACTGAAAGCTATTTCCGGAATTTTCATCACAGCGTCATGGATCTGTAGTCATGTGTATGTGATTTATATCCATAGTTTCTTGAGGAGTAAGTATGCTATATGCCGGTAATTGACGTTTATGGACGGTGGGGAAAATCAACGATATAGCGGTAATGGAGAGAGAGAGAGAGAGAGAGAGAGAGAGAGAGATTCATTGATCTGAATTTAAAAAAGGACAGAATATCTAATTTAATCTAGGAAAATGAAAAGATTGCCACCACGTAATAACACTTAAGAACAAAAAGAGGAGGGTGAGTAAAATATCAGATTAAAGTAGAATTTGGGATTCAAGAGACAAGCCATATTATACTGTATAAACACTTAAACAGTGGATGAAGTACCTGGCACCCCCGAGGTAAAATGTCCCTAAAAATGACCAGTTACCTTAGTTATAATGCATCTTGGAAATTAAAAGGTGGTTGATGGGTTATTTGGTAGACCCATGATATAATATTTTGGGTACATAGGGATTAATAAATGCTGATTACCGTGATTTATTTATACATATAAATTGCTTTTCGAAGCCGTTAGATTTACGTTGAGCATCGTCAAAACCAAGTGAGATCGGGTTCACATATGGACTGTGTAATACTCTCAGTGTGACGGTGG